GCCAGGTGGCCTTGGAGCAGCTCCCCAGGGAACAGACCGTGCAAGAGGGAAGTGCAGTCACCTTCCATTGCAGCATGAAGGGAGGTTCTGTGGACAGCTACTACATGTACTGGTACCGTCAGGGCCCACGGGGCATGGAATGGATTTCCACAGATGGTTATCAGTATGGAGACGGTTTCCAAGATCGCTTTAAGGCAAGAGCGGTCAGCTCCGAGAACTTATTTCCACTGCAGCTCCTGGCAGCAGAGCAAGGCGATGCAGCAACATATTACTGTGGAGCAAGAGTCACCCTGGAGCAGCTCTGCAGCTGAATGAACCAAAAACCCATAGATTGGGAAGATAGATCTCTCAGCATTTCTTTCAGGCAGCTGCTCCCCAGGGCTCTTGTCAGGCAATGGCAGGTGCAGGAAACATCCCTCTGGCTTGGGGGCACTAAAAGGCACTGCAGGGAGGGCTGCTAGAAGGGCTGGTACCATTGATGGTGCAGGAGGATCTGTCCTGGGAACTGCACAGGCTGCAGTTTGGGCAAGTGCAGGTTTAGCGCACGTTTCCTGGGCTCCTGTCCAGCACGGCCTCATTTCTCCTTGGTGGCTTGCCTTGGCTCCCAGCCCTTTTTCCTCAGGGATTCTCAGCGAGGTTTTGGGAAGTTGGAATTTGGCTGAGCCACATTTACAGCCTTTGACAGTGACACAAGGGGTCTTGCTGGGTGAGGAGAGAGTGGATGTTGTGCATTCTTCATTCAGTTCCCTGGAAACCTTCTGGACAAAGCCTTTTATTATGGCCTAGAGAAGGGTTCAGTGACATGGGTAGTGCACGGGTACACATTCCTCCTCCCAGCCTGTCCTCGTGGTCTGTGGGAAATGAAATTCCTGAAGGCTGATCTGGCTGCTGAAGCCTGAGGTGAACAAAGCATTCAGGACCCCAGCCATGTCCCATATCCTCGGTCACCTGCTCCCCATCCCATTCAGCAGTGGGCCCACCTTCTCCCAGCCTTGTTTCTCTGTGCAGCCTCCTGGCATGTTGACCTGACTCCTTGCTCACTGGGGAGGAATCCTCTTCAGCTCAGCACTGCTGGGGCTGGGGACAGCTGTGTCCCCTGCTGGGCTCCCAAGCCTGGGAAGGACATGGACAGAGGGGAACAAATGCAGTGAAGGGCCAGGAATACAAGGGAGGGAACAGCTGACATATAAGGAGGGCCTGGAAGATCTGGGTTGGTTTAGCATGGAGAATTAAATGTAGAGGTGCATCTGACACTGTGTTGAAATCCCTGAAACTCTGTAAATTCCATTCTTGAGGATATTCAGAACTGAACAGGACAAGACTGTGGGCACCTCCTGCCCCTGACCCCATCAGGCAGCTCAGCCCCACACAGCTGCTCACTCAGTCCCCTTCACTGCTATGGAGGAGATAAACAAACGGCTGGAGTGAGAAAATGTGTGTTTTGACAGGAAGAGAGTTGAACAATCATGGCAATACCAACACACAAAAACCAAACAACATCAAGAATTCCTGATGTTGCTCAGACTTGCCATTGGCAGAGAGGAGCAGCAAAGCTGGCTCCTCTTCTGCTCCCCTTTCCTGAAGCCCGTTCTGGCTCTCCAGAAAGAACAGCATTAGGTCTGATGACCACACAGAGCCTTTACAAGAGAGCTTGGCAGCCTATACCTGTGTCTGCAGCTTTAGAGAACAACAAGACACCCTAATTCCTGACAGAACACACACCCCAAATACAGGAAAAAACAGAAATACAGAGAACAAACCCATTCTGAATAGCCCTCCTCCCTCCTCTGTGTGTCTGTCATTTGCCCAACACAAACTTTCTTTGTATCATTTGCAGGTTTCCCTGTTCCTTTTCAGCTTTGAAACTTGCAGCCTGAAGAGGACACAGGGTTGTCCTTAACACTCATGTAGCACAAGTTATTTCTGGAAGTCCTCAGAGACAAAAGCTGCAAAACATCTAGCTCCAATATTCTCCTGCTTACAAGAAGGAACAGTGCCTGAGACTGAGAGCTCTGACCACACAATGCTGCTTTGTCCTGATCACCCACCTCCAGGCAGCTCTTCCCAGCTCAGAATACCTCATAACAAGAGAAAACCCAAAGCCATGTTTTCCAATGAAACCAGGCACTGAATTATGTCCAGTAGGGGAATCAATCAGAATTCTGGAGCAATTCCACACCCTGCATGGGGCCTGAGTTTCCAAGAATGAATTTTCCTGCACCACTGACCACTTGTCTCCACCACCTGCATGGGACTAGGAGGTAGGGATCCAGCACAGGACAAGTACTCAGGGATTTTGTGTCAGCAAGAGTGACTCATCAGATCTGACCTGCTTTTTTCTGCTGGAGGATATGCCATGGACTAGGTGAGGGCACAGCCGTGTGCTTAGCTGAAGCATAAAAGAATAAATTCTCTTCATGATTCTATGCTCAGCATCCTTGTGTCCATCCTCCGGTGAAAAAAAACTGAAATGGGCTATGGGGGAGCAGCAGCCCAGCAGAGCAAGGGCCAGGGGAAGGACAAGCTGACAGCCTCCCTGATCAGCTCCAAAAGGCCAGGACTGGCCCCACAGAACCACATCATCAGTAGCCCACCACAGCATTTACTGCCCAAAAAATAGTCTGTTTCTGCAGCACACAGGGTGAGAGACACCCAGGAGGGCACCAAGAGCTTCAAGTTCTGCTCCTCATGCCCCACCTCTCCCCCTCACTGTTGTCATAGGCAGAGGGAGGGACCAGCAGGGACTGGGCCTGAGAGCAGTGACAGAGGCCCAGGCAGGGCAGGTGTGGGCAGAGCTGCTGTGCAGGCACAGAGAAGCTGGAGAGAGGCCACACAGAGCGGGCCTGGCCATGTGGAGTGCCCTGTGCGTGGGCTTCTTGCCCATTGTAGGTGAGTGAAGGCAAGGGCTGATGGCCCCAGGAGCTGAGCGTGGCCCTGGGCTCTGCAGGGCTCTGGGGAGCTGTGCTGAGCGCTTGCAGCCGGAGCTGTGCCCCGGCTGGAGCTGCCCAGCCATGCCTGTGAGCTCGGCACCTCCATCTCAGCTGCCTCCTCTGCAGCCCGGGCACACGCAGGGCACCTCCCAGCTGCACTCAGATCTCGGGGCCCAGCGCTTTGCCCTGGCACTGGACACTGCTCCTGGGGCATTGCGGCCCCTCTGGCACAGACCAGCTGGGGCATGGCAGCACAGGGCACAAGCCCCACTGCCTGGGACAGCCCTTTGTCTTTGCTGTGCTCACCCAGAGCAGGTTCACAGACAGCACAGTGGGTTCCTCACCATGCTGTCTTGGCAAGGACAAAGGAATTTGTCCCCCCATGGTGCAAATCCTTCCTGCTTCTTTGGGGAAATTCAGGAAAAGCTTCCTGTCAGACTGGGTGGAGGGAAATGTGGTGTCTCCATCCTTGTGAGCCTTGCTAGCTGCCACTAGCTCTGCCCATCTGTGTCAGCTGGCTTCAAAGAGGAGGATTTTGTCCTCCCACAGATCCAGTGCCAGTCCAAAGCCCCACCAGCACTGCCCTGACCTTTGCTGAATCTTGGAGTGACTGTGCCTTGTTCTTGCTCTCTGCAGCAGTCACTGGCCAGGTGGCCTTGGAGCAGCTCCCCACGGAAGTGACCGTGCGAGAGGGAAGTGCAGTCACCTTCCACTGCAGCATGAAGGGAGGTTATATGAGCAGCTACTACATGTACTGGTACCGTCAGGTCCCACAGGGCTCTCTGGAATGGATTTACAACGAGGGTGATTTATATGGAGAAGGTTTCCAAGATCGCTTTAAGGCAAGAGTGGAGAGCTCCCAGAACAGCTTCACACTCCAGATCCTGGCAGCAAAGCCAGGTGATGCAGCAACGTATTACTGTGGAGCAAGAATCACCCTGGAGCAGCTCTGCAGCAGAATGAACCAAAAACCAGCAGATGGGGAAGACAGATCGCTCAGCATTTCTTTCTGGCAGCTGCTCCCCAGGGCTCTTGTCGGGCAATGGCAGGTGCAGGAAACATCCCTCTGGCTTGGGGGCACTAAAAGGCACTGCAGGGAGGGCTGCTAGAAGGGCTGGTACCATTGATGGTGCAGGAGGATCTGTCCTGGGAACTGCACAGGCTGCAGTTTGGGCAAGTGCAGGTTTAGCGCACGTTTCCTGGGCTCCTGTCCAGCACAGCCTCATTTCTCCTCGGTGCCTTGGCTGCAGAGCCATGGGATGATGGGGATGTGTTGCTGGAGCTTCCAGAGGGCTGTGGTGGGTGCAGCCCGGCTGTTCAGCAAAGCCAGATCAGCAGGGATGACATTGGTCTACAGAGTGGCTTCTACAGAGCACCTGACCAGGAAGAAGGAGTTGAGACAGTGTGGTGAGTTGACTTTGCTTGTCCTCCAAGGGCTCAGCAAGCTGCTTGCTGTCTCAGTGCCCCTATGCCTCAATTAGAGAGAGGGAAAATAATGCCGTTAAGGCTTGTGGGTTGAGATAAGGACATGGACATGTCGTAGGAGCGCTGCCATGGGCAAATACGTGGACTGGGAGAAATTAATTTAATTTTTTGTGAATCAAATCAGAGTAGGATAATGAGAAAAAAACGGACACATCTAAAAACCTCACATCTACCCAATCATTGCACAGAAATGGGGAATGCAAGCATCAGTTCATAAACCATTTTCTCTGCCACTTCTTCCTTCTCATGCCCTTCTCCAGAGTGTGGAGTCCGCGCCAGACGAGACATTTCTCTAAGAATTTTTCAACTTTCTTTTTTTTTTTGTGCATTGACTGCAGTTCTTCTTAAATTCCTGTGGTGTGGGTCTGTAGTTCGCCTTGCAGTCCCTCAGGAATAGACTTCTTCAGTGTGGATCCCTGCAGGTTCTCCCAGAGAAGCTGCTATGACATGGGCTACTTCTTCCATGAGACCACAGTTCCTGTCAGAAACCGGCTGCAGCATGAGCTCTACATGGAGTCCCAGACCTGTTCAGGACATATTCAGTTGCTTCTGTGTGGGGAACTCTTTGGGCTGTAGGGTCAGTATCTGCTCCACCATCACCTGACATCACCTGCGCCATCCTGGTCTTCACGGTGCATAACAAGGAGAATGTCTGCTCTGGCACCTGGAGCACCTCCCAGTCCTCCTTTCTCATGGACACTCAGCAAGGCTTTGGGAAGTGGGAATCTTCTACAGCGAGACAAAGAGTCTTGGTGGATAAGAAGGTGGATGTTGTGCATTCTTCATTCAGTTGTGCTCACAGCAGTGACTTCCCTGGACTTTTTGGACAAAATTCTTCGTTATGGATTAGGGAACAGCTCAGTTACATGTTTGTTTCAGGAACAGATATTGTGTGCTCCATCCTCTCCTCGTGGTCTGAGGGAAATGAAACACCTGAAGGCTGATCTGGCTGCTGAAGCCTGAGGTGAATAAAGCATTCAGGACCTCAGCCATGTCCCATATCCTCGGTCACCTGCTCCCCATCCCATTCAGCAGTGGGCCCACCTTCTCCCAGCCTCGTTTGTCCATGCAGCCTCCTGGCATGTTGACCTGACTCCTTGCTCACTGGGAAGAAATCCTCTTCAGCTCAGCACTGCTGGGGCTAGGGACAGCTGTGTCCCCTGCTGGGCTCCCAAGCCTGGGAAGGACATGGACAGAGGGGAACAAATGCAGTGAAGGGCCAGGAACACAAGGGAGGGAATAGCTGACATATAAAGAGAGCCTGAGAGATCTGGTTGCATGTAGTACAGACAAGAAATTGGTGACAGGGAAATTTGTCACATGACTGTCCCTTGCCGTACCCCAGCACTGGCCTTTGGTTTCTGCAAGGGAGAAAGAAAGAGCACCTAGTCATCATTTCCCAATTGATTTTCCTCCCATCTGCTCTGCCCAGGATTGCCTCCTACATCAACAAGCCGTGGCCAGAAACAGACTTGTCAAGCTTCAGGAAGCAGCCAATAGACCGGTCAAATGAGAATACTTGTTCTTCCTTACTTTTCCAAAGCCATGTGTTTAGCTAAATTATTAAAATCTAACTTCTCTTGGTAATATTGCTCTAAGCATCCTCCTCTAGCAAGGAACTTGCAGACATTGCAAAGGAAGTTTTCTCCTCTGCCTGAGGCAAATATCTCCTGCAGGGATGGGAACGCGCCTGTGAGTGAGTCTTTCATACTTTTCATACTTTCATACTTTCTTTCATGCTTTTAAATGAAGAAGGCTTAAAAAATTATGGGGAAAGACTTTTACTATAGGCTGTAGTGATGCAACAAGGGGTAATAGTTTTACACAAAGAGAGGATAGATTCAGACAAGATACAATGAAGAATGGTTTTTTTAAATACAGTGATGAAATAGATTGCCCCAAGAAATGGTATCTGCTCCAAACCTGAAAACATTTAAGATCAAATTCAGTGTGCCTTGAGCAACCTTTTTGTCTTGACTTGAAAGACAGCTGTCTGCCAAGGAAGGCAGGAACCACCCTTGGAGTGGAGAATATGACCCTCTTCCCTCCAAATTGTTATAACTTTGAAATAAAGGGGCTTTCGGGCAAAGATATGGGAATAACAGCTCTTTACCAGTATGTGTAGCAAGGCAAACAAACAACACCGGCAGCACCAAACAGAACCAGACACGCGGTCCCAGCCTCTCTGGGCCGCAGGCGCTTTCCCCTTTGGTGCAGTTCCGGTCACAGCCAGCAGGGGCGCTGCTGGCTCCCGGCCGGGCAGGGCGGGGGCGATGATTCCCCCGATCCAGCAGGGAGCGCTGTGGCGCGGCTCGGCCGCCTCTCTGCATGTGAGTAATAGTGGGTGGGCAGGCAGGAGGGATGGAGAAGGGGCTCCCTTTACAATCCCACAGGAACAGCCGGTCCTGGTGCCCCTCCAAATGGCAAAAGGAGCTGTAGCAGGAATCTGAGAAGGAGCAGCTGGAAGGGCAGAGGCGAACACACCCAGGGTGGCAAACAGTAGCAAAAACTTCAGAGATGTGCCAAGACCTGCAAGATGTGGACAGGGGGTGTGGAGTTAAAGTATAGAAAATATCCCTGAAGCAGTGGCAGAAGCCAGCGGGGCTGGGCAGCGGCAGCCATGACCCCACAAACAGCCAGGAGATGCTCCCTCCGGAGGGGCTAAGGGGTCTGGGTCCCAGCTGTCCCCTGAGGCACCTGAACTGATGGTGAGTGTCTCTCCCTGTGAGATGGGTTGTAAGAGAGGTACCAGTTCAATGACCGCCCTTACAAGCAAAGGCTCAGCCACAGTAGGAGGAGCAGTGAAGGACAGAAGTCCGTGGTGGCAGTGAATTCTCCCCGCAGCAGCAGCCCAGCACCAAGACTATGACCACTTCCAATCCCCAGAGCGAGTGCCAGCAAGGAGCTGAGCCCAGCTCCCTGAATTCACCCCCAGCCAAAATCTCATCTCTGCACTTCCCAAGAGAATGCCCCCAAGCTAAGAGGGGAGCCAACTGCACCCTTCCCCCTCCTCAACATCCCAGTCACATGCTTTCTCTCTAAAAGTATCCATCCTTATAATCTCTCAGGCAATAAAAGGGAGAAATATACCCTGAGAGAAAGAAGAGGAAAACTCCTAACCTCCACCACCTGTTAAAGCTGAAAACATTCCTGATTATTGCAGGATTAGGAAAATATTCCACAATTGTAGGCTACCACTAATTATATGATTAAGATACCAATCAAATTAAAAGCCAACTTCAGTCAACTATAACAACAGCAAATAGAGTTAATTAAAGCACCATCAGCTGGACCAAAATAAATCCTGAACAATTCTTAAACATGGACTGATTTTTCCTCTGGCATGCAAATAGGCTTTGAGAAGAGTAATGCTTGAAGGTCTAGAAGATTTAGAAAATATAGAAGGAAAATAACTTGAAAATTTATAAGCTTGAGAGATGCTCCCCAGAAAATTTTTCAAGTATTTAACCCTAACTCTCTTGTGTGTTAAAAGACAAACCAGTAAACAGATCCTTTCTGTGAGACACTTCTAACAATATTCCTTTCCAAAGTGTTGTGGCAATGTTTTAGTGACGTTATAACGGTCCATTCTGCCAAAAACACTAACTGTCCAATCTGTCAAAAAAAGCAAGGATGATAATGATATTTTGGTGTGGAGAATCCTCTGGCACAGTGTTAGATGTTAGTGTAGAGGGACAGGAAAACAAAAGGCAGCACTACAAAGACATGAAAGAGGAGACATCACCTGACAATGACAAAACAATGACAAATGTTTTTGTAGAACTGTCTAGCACAGTGTGGACTACAGACCACAGTGACTGAAAACAACTGAACCACCACACACAAACTGTCTCCCTCCCTTCTCTTGAAGGAGGAAACACGGTGGCTTTACCTCATCTATTTTTCCTCAGACAACTGTGTGCACATACACAAATTTGATTCCCAAAATTACTCAAAAAGCAGATCACCTCACCTATTTTTTCCAAAACCAATTCAACCTGAGATATTGCCTCTTGCAAACAGGTCATCTTAAACATTTGATCACCAGCTCCAGTTGAACACATAGGCAGGAGCCTTCTGTACTTATATGTTTCCATTTTAGCTCAGCATTATGTTATTCTCTTTTTCTGAGAGCACAGAGAAGAACAAGGATCCTTTTAATTTCAGATCCAACAATGGCCAGAAGCAGATGCAGATGAAGAACAAGACCTGGAGACCAGAAATGGCACTTCCCACTAAGAATCTCTCAGCTATAGGCATCAGAACAAGGTCTTAGAATCACCTGTGATTGCTTTGTATTTACCCTTTATGAATTTATTCAGGAGCTCCTTGTTCATCATTTTGGACTTCTGTCGCAATGCATGACTTAGTGCTTTGTCAAGGGAAACCATTCTTGAGGTTCAAGGAGGTAATCTCTGAACATGAGCAGCTCTCCTAGACCCCTCCTGTGTCCAGGACCATAGCCCATGGGATTCCTCCCAGAAGATCCCAGATTCTGCTCTCCTGAAGCCCAGGGCTCCAGTACTGTTCTTGCATTGCTCTCTTCTCCCTGGATCCTGAGCTCAAGCAGTGCATGGTCACTGCAGCCAAGGCTGCACCAACCACCTCACATCCAGCACCAATTCTTCCTCAGTGGCACACAGAGGTCCAGTTCACCAACCACTTGTGTCAGCAAGTTTGCATCAGTACATGCCAGAAAACTGCTGACTCTGTGTGTGCCCAGCTGTGCTGTCCTGCCATCAGACACCTGACACACTTCAAGCACCCCATGAGGACTGGAGCCCAGTGATGTCTCCATTTGTCCCAAGAAAACCTCACCTGTTTCTTCCCATTCCTCTCATATTTTCTACCCATATTTCTTTCTTGGGAATGGCTTAAATTCCCTATCCATTCATGGTTTTGTTTTTGTTTTGTGTTCAGAATGGCCATTGCCTCCCCTGGCTCAGGGAGTGTTGTGATGGGTGAGGGGCAGCGGGGATCCCCTGAGAGCTGGGGGCCAGGGGCTGCTGCTTCCTTCCAGAGGGGCTGCTCAACTCAGGAGCCACACGGCAAGGGCTTATGACTGGAGACACTGTTGCTCTGTGCTTTTTGCCTGTTTTTCTTTGTTTTTCGTTTCCTTTTCATGTGAGTACGGCTTGCCAGCTTGCTTCTCTGCTCCTTTGCTGACTGGGAGCCCAGAGCCAGTGCGTGCTGCACCAGGAAGCAGATGCAAGGAACACACTGGGACATGCCCTCTGCGTGGTGGCCTGTCCCCAGGATCAGCCATCACTGGTGAGCTGTCCAAAGGAGCAATCCCCTGCCCAGCCCTGCTGTTATCTGCCCCTGCTTCAGGGATTTTTTCCTACACTATAACTTGACACCCCTTGTCTGCCCAGACACCCAGGGTTCCTGCCACACTTTCAGAGATTCTCCTACACTTGTTTCACCACGATGAGTGCTCTCAATTTGCCATTACAGCCTGTTGCTCCAAAGTTCCTGCTAGAGCTGGTTTCCCTATCCAGAGGGGCACCGGGACCAGCTGCTCCTGTGGGATTGTAAAGGGAGCCCCTTCTCCATCCCTCCTGCCTGCCCATCCACCATTGCCCACATGCAGAGAGGCAGCCAAGCCGCGCCACAGCGCCCCCTGCTGGATCGGGGGAATCATCACACCTGCCCTGCCCGGCCGGGAGCCAGCAGCGCCCCTGCTGGCTGTGACCGGAACTGCACCAAAGGGGAAAGCGCCTGCGGCCCAGAGAGGCTGGGACCGCGTGTCTGGTTCTGTTTGATGCTGCTGCTGCTGTTGTTGTTTGCCTTGTACATACACATACTGTTAATGAACTGTTACTTCTTTTCCCATATCTTTGCCTGAAAGACCCTTTATTTCAAAGTTTGGAGGGAAGGGGATTGTACTCTCCATTCCAAGGGTGGTTCCTGCCTTCCTTGGCAGGCACCTCTCTTTCAAACTAGGACAGACACCATCACTGTGTGAGGCAGCACAGGCAGCAGATAGAGCAGCCACAGACTCACATAGAGTACATTTATTTCCATGACCTTGCTAACCTGGGGGAATCCCTGTGCAACAGTCAGGCAGAGGCAAGGAGAGACACTGGCATCTAAACTTTGTCCACACTAGAGGACACGTGGATGCAGTTCATCCTGGGCTATCAAGGGTAATTCCCAGCTGGAAGGTCACTTAAGCAATTTACAGCCCTCCTGCGTTTTCTCCTTTTAATCCATTCCTCCCAACACCCCCAGAGGCAGCATGCTGTGTCTCAGGACTCCTGTCACACTACCACTATTACCCACAAGAAGAGAAGTAGAGGGATTTGACTGCATTGTAAGAAATGCTCCAAAATAACACCATAAGTACTGATTATTTTTCTGCTTTCTTTCCAGCTTAACTCCATCAAACTTTTACGTGACTAGGTGTCAGGTAATCCCCAAGTTCTCATTTACAACTCAAACTTTCTGATATTAAAATGAAAGGGCAAGGAGACCTGCTCCTTTTGGATGCCTTTACTAAGTGATCAGCTCTGGGTGGGGGCCCGAGGGGTCGCATACACTGCTGCTGCTCCCTTCGGCGATGCAGAGGAGGAGAGACAGTTTTGCTTGGCAGCAGAACTGGGGCTTCCGTCCTCACGGGCGTGCCTAGGAAGGCAACTCTGGCTCCTTGTCTGGGGTCCTCACTCTGCTCAGTTCCAGTAAGGTCACGGTGGCACTCAAGGCTTTGCTGGTAGAGTGGGGGATCTTCCTGCCGATAGGACAAATGTTTTTGTAGAACTGTCTAGCACAGTGTGGACTACAGACCACAGTGACTGAAAACAACTGAACCACCACACACAAACTGTCTCCCTCCCTTCTCTTGAAGGAGGAAACACGGTGGCTTTACCTCATCTATTTTTCCTCAGACAACTGTGTGCACATACACAAATTTGATTCCCAAAATTACTCAAAAAGCAGATCACCTCACCTATTTTTTCCAAAACCAATTCAACCTGAGATATTGCCTCTTGCAAACAGGTCATCTTAAACATTTGATCACCAGCTCCAGTTGAACACATAGGCAGGAGCCTTCTGTACTTATATGTTTCCATTTTAGCTCAGCATTATGTTATTCTCTTTTTCTGAGAGCACAGAGAAGAACAAGGATCCTTTTAATTTCAGATCCAACAATGGCCAGAAGCAGATGCAGATGAAGAACAAGACCTGGAGACCAGAAATGGCACTTCCCACTAAGAATCTCTCAGCTATAGGCATCAGAACAAGGTCTTAGAATCACCTGTGATTGCTTTGTATTTACCCTTTATGAATTTATTCAGGAGCTCCTTGTTCATCATTTTGGACTTCTGTCGCAATGCATGACTTAGTGCTTTGTCAAGGGAAACCATTCTTGAGGTTCAAGGAGGTAATCTCTGAACATGAGCAGCTCTCCTAGACCCCTCCTGTGTCCAGGACCATAGCCCATGGGATTCCTCCCAGAAGATCCCAGATTCTGCTCTCCTGAAGCCCAGGGCTCCAGTACTGTTCTTGCATTGCTCTCTTCTCCCTGGATCCTGAGCTCAAGCAGTGCATGGTCACTGCAGCCAAGGCTGCACCAACCACCTCACATCCAGCACCAATTCTTCCTCAGTGGCACACAGAGGTCCAGTTCACCAACCACTTGTGTCAGCAAGTTTGCATCAGTACATGCCAGAAAACTGCTGACTCTGTGTGTGCCCAGCTGTGCTGTCCTGCCATCAGACACCTGACACACTTCAAGCACCCCATGAGGACTGGAGCCCAGTGATGTCTCCATTTGTCCCAAGAAAACCTCACCTGTTTCTTCCCATTCCTCTCATATTTTCTACCCATATTTCTTTCTTGGGAATGGCTTAAATTCCCTATCCATTCATGGTTTTGTTTTTGTTTTGTGTTCAGAATGGCCATTGCCTCCCCTGGCTCAGGGAGTGTTGTGATGGGTGAGGGGCAGCGGGGATCCCCTGAGAGCTGGGGGCCAGGGGCTGCTGCTTCCTTCCAGAGGGGCTGCTCAACTCAGGAGCCACACGGCAAGGGCTTATGACTGGAGACACTGTTGCTCTGTGCTTTTTGCCTGTTTTTCTTTGTTTTTCGTTTCCTTTTCATGTGAGTACGGCTTGCCAGCTTGCTTCTCTGCTCCTTTGCTGACTGGGAGCCCAGAGCCAGTGCGTGCTGCACCAGGAAGCAGATGCAAGGAACACACTGGGACATGCCCTCTGCGTGGTGGCCTGTCCCCAGGATCAGCCATCACTGGTGAGCTGTCCAAAGGAGCAATCCCCTGCCCAGCCCTGCTGTTATCTGCCCCTGCTTCAGGGATTTTTTCCTACACTATAACTTGACACCCCTTGTCTGCCCAGACACCCAGGGTTCCTGCCACACTTTCAGAGATTCTCCTACACTTGTTTCACCACGATGAGTGCTCTCAATTTGCCATTACAGCCTGTTGCTCCAAAGTTCCTGCTAGAGCTGGTTTCCCTATCCAGAGGGGCACCGGGACCAGCTGCTCCTGTGGGATTGTAAAGGGAGCCCCTTCTCCATCCCTCCTGCCTGCCCATCCACCATTGCCCACATGCAGAGAGGCAGCCAAGCCGCGCCACAGCGCCCCCTGCTGGATCGGGGGAATCATCACACCTGCCCTGCCCGGCCGGGAGCCAGCAGCGCCCCTGCTGGCTGTGACCGGAACTGCACCAAAGGGGAAAGCGCCTGCGGCCCAGAGAGGCTGGGACCGCGTGTCTGGTTCTGTTTGATGCTGCTGCTGCTGTTGTTGTTTGCCTTGTACATACACATACTGTTAATGAACTGTTACTTCTTTTCCCATATCTTTGCCTGAAAGACCCTTTATTTCAAAGTTTGGAGGGAAGGGGATTGTACTCTCCATTCCAAGGGTGGTTCCTGCCTTCCTTGGCAGGCACCTCTCTTTCAAACTAGGACAGACACCATCACTGTGTGAGGCAGCACAGGCAGCAGATAGAGCAGCCACAGACTCACATAGAGTACATTTATTTCCATGACCTTGCTAACCTGGGGGAATCCCTGTGCAACAGTCAGGCAGAGGCAAGGAGAGACACTGGCATCTAAACTTTGTCCACACTAGAGGACACGTGGATGCAGTTCATCCTGGGCTATCAAGGGTAATTCCCAGCTGGAAGGTCACTTAAGCAATTTACAGCCCTCCTGCGTTTTCTCCTTTTAATCCATTCCTCCCAACACCCCCAGAGGCAGCATGCTGTGTCTCAGGACTCCTGTCACACTACCACTATTACCCACAAGAAGAGAAGTAGAGGGATTTGACTGCATTGTAAGAAATGCTCCAAAATAACACCATAAGTACTGATTATTTTTCTGCTTTCTTTCCAGCTTAACTCCATCAAACTTTTACGTGACTAGGTGTCAGGTAATCCCCAAGTTCTCATTTACAACTCAAACTTTCTGATATTAAAATGAAAGGGCAAGGAGACCTGCTCCTTTTGGATGCCTTTACTAAGTGATCAGCTCTGGGTGGGGGCCCGAGGGGTCGCATACACTGCTGCTGCTCCCTTCGGCGATGCAGAGGAGGAGAGACAGTTTTGCTTGGCAGCAGAACTGGGGCTTCCGTCCTCACGGGCGTGCCTAGGAAGGCAACTCTGGCTCCTTGTCTGGGGTCCTCACTCTGGCTCAGTTCCAGTAAGGTCACGGTGACACTCAAAGCTTTGCTGGTAGAGTAGGGGATCTTCCTGCCGATAGGGCTCATTGCTTAGTTTGTTAAATTTTCAGCTTGTTCTTTGTTTCTAAGGCCCTTAGTTGGAGTTCCTAGAATGTCTCTTCATTTGCATATTCCCCGGGGTGTTATCCTGCGCCATCTTAGAGAAAAGGGGAAGCACTACCCGACTGAGGCAACAGAGATATCAGTAAGGTAGGGGATTAAAAGTGTAACAGCTAACAACTATTAACATTTTTTTAACTGGTTACAATTTCGAATTGTCATCCAACACCTCTGATTGTATCAACTTATGAACCCATTCCCAACAGTTGCAATTTCAACTTAACATTTAACACTTCTAATTGTATCAACCTCTGAACTTGTTCATAACAATATTATTTTAGATCCTTCCTTGAAAGCCATATGGTGTTTCATGGGGTGCGTTGAGTCTTAAACCACTGAGGAGATCATGTGACTGCCTGCATAATCCACAATGCTGTGTAGTGGAACAGAGACAGTTTTTGTTATGAAATATATCATGGTGTTTGGGCTTTGGATACCACAATGATATAAACAACATAGGGACCTGTACAAAAACAAGAGGGAAAGAAGGTGAGATATTTTGGGAAAGAAACAGGATGGGTGACTCTAGTGATTAAGCAGAACAACATTCTTCCTAGATTTCCTTTTTTCCTGGATACATAAAAAAGCTCATGAAGGTTCTAAAAGGTGGAAGAAAGAGAGAAGTTAAAAATTCTATACTCAATCAAGCTACGTGAAAGCACTGATCAATTCAATTAACTTTTTTTTCCTTTCAAGTTTTTGAAGTAAATCCACCTCTGGATCCTCTCATGGACTTGCACCCATGGATAATTAGGACTAATGGCTTTTCATCACCTGTTTTTATAGCACTTTTGAACACCATGAGGAAAGAGTGAGTTATTGGAATAAGTCTTAGCAGTGTGTGGACAGATAAGCTTATATTTGGACCAGGGACAACACTCACAGTTCTGCCAAGTAAGTGAAATTTTTTAATTCCTAAAACTTCATTTAAAATTGAGGTGAGGGAGAACAAGGGAATTTAATGGTTTGGATTCATTGAAAGGATTTTCAGCTGCAATAATCCCTTGAATACATTCCCTCTCCTGGGCAGCCAGCAGAAATAAGAAAGACATTTGGGATTTCAGCAGAGAGAGCTGAAAGATGTTTCAAACCATCTAAAAAAATGTTTTTTCAACTGTTTAATTACTTTGAGATACTTTTTTGGGGGAGAAGAGGGAAGACACCATCTATTTCTTTAAAATGTGTATTTCCTTGTGACTGAATATTTCAGCCTTTCGCAGCAAACCTGTTGCAGCACAAGCTGGAACAGCCCTTCCAATACCAACACAACGTTAAAGGTGGCGTATGCTGTGAGAGTTTTTTAATTAAATGAATTGTTATATTTGGTGGGTTTACTCTTTTAGTCCAGAAGGTCATTCACATAGTAAAACCAAAACAATGCAGGACTTCTTCTGTCTCCTGCAACTGCATGGAGAAATTGTCTTTTCAAATTTATGTCAGAATTAATGCTGACCTGCTGAGGCCCAGTCAGTACTTTCCTCCGATTTTCTATGAGAAATGTCATCTGAACATTTTTTTAATCCTGTGTAAATGGTGGGTATAGTTTACAATGTGTTTTCTTTATCATGCTACAGAAGAGGAGGCTGAAGAACCAGTAACAGGGTTTGGAGAACCAAACAGAACCAGAACAGTGTCAGGGGCCAGTGACAGGGTTTGCAACAGCACAGCCCCCTCAGCACAAGGTGAGTTACCCCAACAGGATGTGAAGTTACATTGCTCTCTGGGGAATAAAGGCATGGAAATCTATTTTCTCCAGGGCAGAGGACTCAGAACACAACACATTCAGCACACACAAGCTGCTGTTCCAAGGTTGCTCCTGCACTTACATACGAGTCCAAGCAAAAAGCAACAGGGACAGACCCTGGGCTCCCATGTTGTTGCCATGTGTTCTCTCTTGGCTGTTCCTTTGCTGCTATTCCTTTCCCTGAAACTGTCACCTGAGGATTTCCCACTTTCTGCCAAGATCACAACACCAAGACCTAGACCATGATCTCTCCCCTCTTTTCTGGTCACTGAGCAGACCCTGAAGAGCAGAGAGTGAACATGCTGTCCATGGCTGTGCTGGGTTTGAGAGTCCTGCTGGCAAAGAGCATCGCCTTCAACGCCCTCATGAGTATCAAGTTGTTTCTTTTCTGAGGTAAAGAAGCTCACAGCTATCAAACACTGGTTCAGAGTCCCAATTTCTTTAAATGTACTTTAAACCTCCCTTTGCTCTTCCAGACATGGGGAATGAAAGCAAGAGGAACCCGAAAAAGAGCAGGAAAGAATGTGAACCAGCAGCACAAGGGGGTGGATCAAGCAGGGGCAGAGCTGCAGACAGACACCACCCAGGACACAAGGCAGCACCTTCCCCTGAAGACACTGAATACTGTTCACTCCTGCCGGGCCAGCTGATTTCAAGTGCTTTCGCTGTTTCCTCTCCTCTGACAACTGAGGAGAGTGGATTTTTTCTTCTGCCAAATGTATTGCACGTGCATTTTAGGTTCCTGTAGTAGTGACAAGAATAAAGTTATACCAGGCCAAAATACTGTAGGTTTTCTGTGATTTTTCTTCTGAAGTTGGGATGGAGATTGCTGAAATCCAACTGTCCTAAAAGCCTACTGAGATCAGGAAAAAAGCTTTTTGGTTGGCTGAATTTGTCTTTTGCAGACTTTGTGCAGAAAAGTGTCTCTCTGGACCATTCAGGAGCTTCAGTGAGGAGAGTCCTTGCTGAAGGCACGAGGGAGGAAAATGCTCCTGTCAGCAGAGAACAAACCCTGCTGTTGTTTTGCACTCAGGGATAGGAGCAAGGGGCCACCAGAAAATAATCTGGGGTGCTTTGATGGAGTGATAGTTGCCATAGCAACCTGGTTCTTACCTAACAGAGCCCAGCCCACACCTTCCCCAGCTCATGCCCCTCTCTCAAGCTACAGGCAGGATGCTGTGGTCACCATTTGTGACTCAGTTCCACCAGGCAGCATTAACCCTCCCCTGCTTTTGAAAACACAAGGTAACCACATCCTGAAGGGGAAATAAGGTTTTTCAGCCCCTGCCTGAGTTCCTGCAGCCTGCAAGAGAGCCTCTGCACGGGACACAGCAAGGGGTGCTGCACTGAGCTTGCTCAGCTCAGACCCTCAGGCCCTGCAGACACCCAGGAAAGAGCCTCAGCCCTTGAAGAAGCTCTGTGAAATTTGCATGCCAAATCCAAATCCAGTGAAATGCTCATTCAGTGCATTCTGCCACCATAACATCAGTCAGGGAGAGCCATTCACCAGTATTTTTATCCTGATTTTCCAATGGCATCCAGAACCTTTTTCTCAAGCACTCCTCACGTTTTCCCGATCTCTCAGGCAGATTTACATTTTGAACATATTGTCTCAGACAAAATCAGTGAAATCAGATGTAGGCAGATTTGTATTTTGAGAATACTCCCTTAGACCAAAACCAGCGGAATCAGATACACAGGAAGGAAAGGTCAATGACTAAGTGCTGTTATAATCCCTTAGTCATAAAATCTTGATGAAGTCTGGGACTAGGATTGGATCCATCCACACCTCCTCTACAAGGAGTTTAGAAAGCAGGGGAGTCCTTTCTGCACCTCATGACTCAGTTGGAGGGACTTCCTTTTACAGCTCTGCCCCTTTCTTGCCCCCAGTCTCCACATCAATCTTTTAATTAAATTAATTCCCATTTGATGTTCCTGTCCCTGATTCATCCATGGAGTAAAGCTGCAGAGGGAGCATTGCTGTTGGACGGTGCCACACTTTGGCAAACCTGTGTTAAACTTGCTTTTGCTGACACCTCTGGCAGTGAGTGTTTCATTGACCTAAAGCCCTCAGTTCATGACAGGGTCCCAGACTGTCCCCACTAAGCAGTGGCTTTTCACTTTGCATTGGCAATGCAGAACATGCAGCTTAACAAAACAGGAGAATAGAAGTGTTTTCAGACCAGTAGTAAGATTGTGTTAGTGTGGTTAATTCCACAGAAGGGCGCAGAATCTGCAGCTCTGCCACCTGGTATCAGCTGAGGAAAGTTTTGTAGAGATACTGCGCTCCACATTAAAATACCCTCTGGTAAAAGAAGGACATTTGCATGTGGAATTATCCCAACATCTGGAAAAACTATATTTTCCTGAAATGGATCCCATGATACCGAAAGAATAGATAATGATTATAAGCCGAACTCTATGGTACTGTACATTTTGACAGTACTAGCGTATTCTCCTACAGACTAATTTGTGTCCAGGTTTGATTGTGCTCAGACAGCCTTTGAAAATCTTCAGGGGTTGAGTCACTATCCCTGGAGACATTCAAAAACACCTGCACACGGTCCTTGGCAACAGCTCCAGACAGTCCTGCTAGAGCAGGGGATACCCAGTCACCTCCAGAGATCTCTTCCAACCTCAATCCTTCTGGTGTTTCTGTGATTCCTTTCTCATACTGGGGGCAATGAGAAGAAGTTCAAAATTTCTTTATATACCTTTAGTCAGGGGTTTTGTTCACCTTTGCCCAGGGGGAAAGGAACTGAAGTTTCTTTTCAATGGACTGATCCAGCACGCCAGGCCGGATTAGCTTCACATCCCAGCAGATTGGGAGCAGCACAGAAGATACACAAAAGATAACAACCATAAACCAACATCAACTCCAAACATCAGCCCTGGCATGGTCAGAGACACCTGGTCTGGGAAAAGATCCATGAGAGAACCAAGAATGAGAACCAAAATAACACTGAAGGTGAAGGGATCAAAAAAAACCAAATACTACAAACTGTGGAACTTGGGACCAATGATCATTGAAGCAATGAATTTCCCTGGGTTTTGACTGTAGAAGTACAAGAACACTCCAGTGAAAACCTTGTGTGATGGAAGGATTTTCTCTGCACAATCCAGGCAATGTGTGGATGAAATGATCTCTCTTGCCCATCTTGGCCAGAATAAAGTAATGCCTTGATCCTCTAACACTAAAGCTGTGGGAGAGTTTTTGTTTTTCCCACAGTTTCAGTGACAAGGCCACCCACAACATGAACTTCAACAAAACTTTTGAAGTAATTTGAGGAAAATTTTCTCCTCTAGCACATTCATTTTTCCTACCCCTTCGTGAGTCACACACATGGAGTGTGGTATCCAACATCTGTCCTGCTGAGCAACCCAAAATGGTGAGAGCTCACTCCAGTGGCAGAGAACATTAAAAGCATCCTGGACGAATAAACCTCTCTCCAAGAGGTTAGATGGGAAAACATAATAAAGAACTCTGTGACAATGGGCAATACAAAATAGCTTTTTGTACCACTGAATCCATCTGCTGTCTTACACAGCATTAACAGTACAATGTAATAATCACATTACTGCATCTGCTGGGTATAATCTAACCTGTCTGTTTTGTGTCCTGAAATACTAAAAAGTTCCTGGTACAGTTAGGTCTGTTGATGTAAACTGAACTGTTTTCTCTGGTCTCTCCTGCTACCTTCTGGCCAAAGTGTTTATCGTTCTCACAACACTTTCAAATTCATGAAATCCCGCAAATAGCCCAAACAGGAGATAAAAAACAAAAAACCAACTAACCAAAGAAACCACTGAAGCTCATTTAGGAACATACAAAGGGTGAGGTTCCACAGACACAGGAACAGCCCCAGCAGCATTGGCACCAGTGGCTCCATACCTAATACAACTAATGCTGAGATCAGATTTGTCTCCAGCCCACTCTGGGCTTTTCTTATCTGTTCTTACCTCAACTATTCACACCCATACCGGATGCCAAATGAGGCAGTTGTGGTTTAGGAATGGTATTTCCCAATTTAGTGTTCCCACTGAGCTACTCCAAAGCAAGCCTGAGGCTCTTTCACAGGATCACGGAAAGTAGGAATACAGAGAGGGCTTAACAGAATAATAGGGACCACCAAGGGTGAGAGACACCCAG